CTGAGATCAGCTGAGAGGCGCGATAACAGCGCGCCGTGGTCTGAGTAAACTATATTAACGCAGAACTGTCATTGCACGAGAGTGAGCAGGCCCTGTGTGGTATGTTGCATGAATGCATCAGGATCTTTCGTCCCTCCCGCATTAATGTTTGCTAGAAAGAAGCATAAGACCGAACTTGTGGATGATGCTCCTGTAAGAACATTACTTCTGTGGCAAGAGTCTGGGTGGATGACGGGCGAACTTTTCTTACTTTGGTTTAAGCACTTTAAAAAGTACTCTCGTGCCTCATTGGAAAATCCAGTTTTGCTAATTTTAGATGGTCACAGCAGCCACAAATATTACCCAGCCCTGAAATATGCGAAGGAGAAGGGCATAAGTTTAATGTGTTTGCCTCCCCATTGTGCGCATCAAATTCAACCATTAGATGTTACATTATTAGGCCCATTAGGTACTTATTATAATCAAGAAATTGACAGATGGTAAAAGCAAATCCTGGCCGGGTAGTAGGCCCATTTCAGATAGAAAATATTTTTTCTGAAGCCTATGGTAAGGCAGCGACAACTGCTATAGGGTGTTCTGGCTTTGCTAAAACCGTGATATTTCCGTTCAACCCCGTGTTTCCAGACTATGTATTTACGCCCAATTTGGTCACTGATCATCCTCAAGTAACGCCACATATTGATAAAACTGCAGGTCCATCTATTGAAAGAAGTCCAATAATTACAACTATTGAGAGAACAGCAATTCCTTTCAGACTTCAACTTTCAGACCTTTCTCCACCTCCAAAACAAAAAGTATTGACAGTAGCGAAAAAAAATAGAAGCACAGGATTCAGGTGAACTAACAAGCACTCCAGAAATGAAAGAAATTAAGGTTAGATACGAAAATAAAATTGCGACGGAAAGAAGAAAATCAGAAAAAAAAGAATTGCAAAAAAAATGACAGTGATGACAAAGGGGATTTTTTACCAGATATACAAGATGACAAAAATGTAGCTTCATGCGTATATTGCAACGAGTTATATAGCATTTCAAAATCTGGAGAAGGTTGGATTAGGTGCCAAAAAATGGGGTCACACTGAATGCGCCGGTATAAGTAAACGAGCTAAGCAGTTCTTATGTGATATTTGTCAAAGTTAGAATATCAAATATTATATCATGTTATGCTAAGAGACATTCGATAAAATGACATACCTTGTAATATAGAGTATGTCACTTTATCGAATATATTTGTTGTTGACTGAAAGGTTACTATTATGTAAAACAGGGTATTTTTTTTAGTTATGTGTTTCTTTATAAAAATAAAAACTGCTGTCTAATACTAGCCATTCCAATACAATAGATGCTGAAACTATTGTATTTATTTATTTTTTTGTCGGACTTTTTGGTTGAAGTAGTTTGGGTATTCCATTTTAGGACAGGCTTCCCTACTTAAGTATATTTAACTAAACCTAACTTAACTAGCTCTAACTTAGACCACGTCGACGATGTTGTACTGCTCTCATTTCGATTTGTTCAGTTCAGTTATATAGGTACTAAAAGGCGTATGAAAATTATTTGAGGGCAATAAAATGAGCCGAACAAACATTGGAAAAATTTCTAATAGGCATCTTGGGGGTTTGGTGCAGAAGAACCTAATCAAATTATATCATACTAACAGTTGTTTATACCTATGTTGAATATGTTGAATATCTAGTCCATACATCATCTTAGACTTTACACTTTATTTAGCGCTGTAATATTTTTGGTTCACTTTTAGGCTGAGACAGTTCAAAGAAGACTGGATTCTTTTGCCTCGAGACTACTAAGTTCTAAGTATAATTTTTATTTTTGTGTCTTTCTTTTCGTTCATTTATTTAATAAAAATTTTAATACAAATTTTATTATTATTCATCAACTTTTCAAACCTGGGAGAATTGTAATTGAAAACATTTAGAAACAAGTGCGCTTAAAACGTTTTATAACTATTTTTATGAAAACGTTATAAAATCATGAAACTACGGGGCAATTCGTAAGTTCCTGGCTTTTTTCTCTATTCAGACGTGGCTCGGTTTCGAGCGTCGTTACTATTCGTGGTGCAAGTCTTCGCCATGCTTCTCTATCCTCTACGGACATACTTGTAAAGTCCTTTATTTGGTCCATGAATCTTACAGATCTACCTCCCGTTCGTTTGTCGTCTACTTTTCCTTGGATCACAGGGTTCTCCATTCCTTTCTTTTGTATCACGTGGACCGAAATATTTAAGTATGCGCCTCTGGATTCCTGGGAGGAGCCTTTCATGATACCGAATATTCAGTTCTCTCCGTATAGAGATATTTGTTTTATGAACTGTCCAAGGAATTCTCAGCATCCTACGGTAACAATAAGAATCGGTTCTATTCTCTTGCGGCATGCTGCGTGTAATGTCCAAGTTTCTGAACCATATGTTGCAATGGATAATATTAGCGCTTTGAGAAGTCTCATCTTGTTCATTTTCCGAATATTGTGGTCTTTCCAAATTTTAACTAGTCTGCCCAAAGCTTTCTTTGCCATTCCAATCCTTCTCTTGACTTCTGGCTCGGAGCTTCCTTTGTTGGTTATTTAACTTTGTTAAGTTAACAGTGTTATTGGTTTCTATATAGGGGATGAGTCGAAGTGACATCGGGATTGTTTGAGATCTGTCCACAATATTTTTTGTTTTATGCTATCTCCATTCGGTTATAAGATTCCATGGTGGTGGAGATATTTATGGTTTTTTGGGATGGTTGCTCCTATATGTATCAGCCAGCGCGGCCGCACGATTAAAGGCGTGTTAGATCTCTATCTAGAGGTCATTAGCATCCATGCGCTCTGCTCTTTCTTGTGTGATAGTTGTCAAAGCTCCTTCTATGTTGTGTTTGAATGTGGGGTTGTTGCCTATGTTCCAAAGGTTGGGTGTAGGTGTTTGTTGTCGATCTTTGCGCAGCTTCAAGCACAGCTCTGCAACCAGTGTGCTATGATCACTACCACAGTCCAAACCTGCATAGGTTTTTATCCTCTTCAGACCCAGGGATAATACACATCGATTTAATTGCTGCTTTTTTAGTAAAGTAGATATTTGGACTTGCAAAAACAAAAAAACAACGTGTTTTTCAAAAATTTTTATTACTTAAAAAAAAA